ATTGCTATCATACAAATATCTCTTCTATCTCTAGTTAACTGAGAATTTTTATCATAAATCAGTGCTTTGTTTGGCTAAAGACTTTTTCTATAACTAAATATAGCCAATTGATATTCAACAAAGATGTCAAGGGAGTTCAAAGAAAAAGAGTTTTCAACAAATGATGGTAGAAAAGCTAGATATCCATGTGGAAAAAAATAAACATTTAAACATTTTTCATGTACAAATTCAAAGTGAATCATAACATAAGCATAAAAATTAATTTTATAAGAAAGGCAATAAAAGACATCTATAAGAAGTTATTGCAAATGGGAATAAGGTGATACTTTAGATTTGACAAAATAATCAAATTGGAGGGGGAAACCAGATTTTACACAATAAAAATTACTGCCTTTTGAAAGATGCTAATACAAAAACAAAAGGGGAGGACACACTTTGAGAAAATATTTTCAAGGCATATAAATGACAAAGGAATTATATTCAGAATATATAAAGAACTCTTACAAATTAATAAGGACACAACCAACTCAAAATAGAGACAAACAACTGGAACATACTTTTAATAAAGAAGGTATACAGGGCCTCCTGGTGGCGCAAGGGGTTAAGCACCACACTATGAAGCAATCCACAGTCTCTGCAGCATGAGCTCACAGGGGAGAAACCCACATGGCGCAGCAGACCTCTCCTGTCTTGCCTGTTGCTCCCCTCAGCATTGTCTTCGGTCCGTCTGCCTGTTCTGTTGCCCACTCTGTCTCTGGTGGATCCTCTCACCCCCTGCATCTCTGGCCTGTACCCTAGCTCTTGTATGCATAAATAATTTTTTTTTAAAAGAAGGTATACAAATGGCAAATAGCACATTAAATATTCTCAATGCATTAGTCATCAAAGAAATAGTGAACAAAAATCAAATTGTAGTCTGACATATACATTAGAATGGTTAAAATCGAAAAAACTCGTATCACATGGAGGTAAGGTTATGGAGTAATTAGAACTTTCATGCACTGTTAGCAGTACTATGAAACAGGTACTTTGGAAAACGGTTAAGTAGTTTCATATAAAGTTACATACATAACACAATCTAATTACTTTTAGGAATTTATTGAAGGATATAATATATGAATCTACACAAAGACTTGTATAGTGATGCTCATAGCAGTTTTATTCATAGTAGACTCAAATGGAAACAACTCAAATGGATAATCATGATAAAACATCATTTTATCAATACCTAGAGAATTATATTTTTTATGTTCAATGTTTCTCCAATCTGGACTCATGTATTTTTTTTGGCCATCGTTTTTTCCCCCAGTTTTAAATGTTTTAAAATTTGTTTTTATTGTGACACATTGGTTTACAGCACTGTATATGATTTAGGGGTAAAGGTTCACAACTCTTCAGATACATGTAACACCACACCCATCACCAAATCACCAGTAATCCTCTACCAGTTGGGCCCCCACCCCTTGCTCCATTTCGCTAACCTTCCCTTATGGTAGTATCAATTCTGTAGTTAAACCTGTAGGGTTTGTTTTGGTTAAGTTTTGTCTGTTCTTTTGATTTGTTGGTTCATATTCTGCATATGAGTGAAATCATTCAGTATTTGTCTTTCTCTTTGTGACTTATTTTGCTTAACATATGACCAATGGAAAGATTTCATTTTTTATAGCTGAATTATATTCCATTGTGTGTGTATATCAGTCTTAGTCCACTCATCTGTCAGTGGGTACTTATGCTATTTTCTTAACTTGGTTATATTAAATAGTGCTGCAATGAACATAGAAGTGTTTCAAATTAGTGTTGTGTAAATAATTCCATTTGGTAGGGTGTCTCTTTGTTTTAATACATTTTCTTTCCCTGTGCAGACACTTTTTAATTTGATGAAGTCCCATTTGTTTATTTTTGCCTTCATTTCCCAGACTACAATAGTTAAATCCCAAAGATATCACTGAAGTCTAGGAATATGTGCACTTCTCTGTTCATTGAGGCAGTATTTACAATAACCATATTATGGAAAAACCTAAGTGTCAAATGACAGATGATAAAGGAGACATCGTATATACACAATAGAATATTACTCAGCTATAAAAAATGTTTTGCATTTGTGACAACATGGAGGGAATTTGAAGGGACTGTGGTAAATCAAATCAGATGGAAAAAGATCAATACTGGGTTATTTCACTCATGTAAAATATATAAAACAAAGCAAAGGAACAGACAAAACAAAACAAATCCTTGAAATCTGATAGCAAAACTGGGCCTACCAGAAGGAGATTGTGATAGGGAAGTATGAGCAAAGATGGTAGGGGCCTTATGGTGGAGAATTATTGGTTTTTGGTAGTAGGCTTGGTGTGGCAACATACAGCTCAAAAAGTATGACCCTATACCTCTCCAGTATCTGCAGTTTTGTAAGTCATTGTCAGAAATCATAAAAGAAAAGGAAAATAGTTATACAAGTCAAAAAATAAAGGCCTTTTTTTTCCAGAGAAAAAGTGAGCTGAAAGATTTTTGTAGTTTTCTCTGAATCAACCATTGTAGTTCTTTGATGAATCTTGGTATTGGTCCCATAGTTAACACCTTTTTGAGTAGCTGTTGAGAATGTGCATGTGCTCTCATTGTTCAGTCTTGTCCTGTTCAATGACTTCTTGGAAAAAATTGTAGTTCTGTATTAGACTCTTATTACATGCTCTGATCACCTTCTACTTGTTCATTGTGCATGGGGTAAATAGCAAAATGATCTCTTGAATTTTATTTACACAAATCTTTGGTGACGTCTCATTAATCACAAAACAACTCTGCTTGAAATAAATCATGTTAATAATCAGACTTCCTTTTTAATTGGTTTTAATTAGCAATATCAAGCCCATACATTATGATAGTCCCCATCAAATATACATTCTTTTGATCCTGCTGGTCCCTTATCAGACAGCCAACTACTTTTACCTATGTTATACTTTTACATGTTGTTTGCCTCCCATAAACCGGAATGTATATCTGATACGTTAATTTTGTCACTTCAGATATATTTTCTTTCTATTCTATATACTATATATATATATATCTTGAGATAGTGTTGAATTTTCTCTCTCCTCATTTTCCACAAAAGAATTTTCACCCCAGGTTTTCTAGTTAAGGTTTTCTAGGCCACCTTTATTTCTTTAGTCAACTTCTTAAGCAATGCAGCTACTGATCTTTTTTCTCATTTAGTTCACCTTACTTTAAAACTTTCAATATTCTACTATTTTGTGGAGATTTGTTATTGCTTATAGTAGTGGTGGTAAGTTCCATATATTTCCCAGCAGAAACAATAACATTAGCAATAACAAAATCCCAAGTAAAACCCCTCCACTTTTTAGGTTACATTATATTCCCATTGTATACAATGGATATTTACTTTGTTAGATATTTATAGAATTTGTCATTGTTATTTTAACTTTAGAATGAGAGACCCTTTAGCGTCCTTAGCCTCTATTATAGGGTGAAAGAATGCTTTCTGAATCAAGATTTATTTCTGAGACTACATATAAAGATGATATTAGTACACATCTAAAAGCTCGATTGAGTTTTGTTAAACAAATGAATAAATTAATTTGAAACCTAGTTATAATTAATATGTAAACTAATTGATTAATTACTTGCTTAACCAATACTCCAAACTAATTTATAAGCAGAACTTTCAGTGGTGTTGTATGGCATGTCTAACTCTGTTCAAAATCTCTATTTTTGGTTTTTAGCATTTGCTTGCTTTTAGCATCAGCTTTTCAAAGCTGAACAAGGGGTTCACCAAACTTGTTTTTCATTCTTTTCTCTTTGTTTTTAGCTGAGAGGGCCTTATAATTTTGTGGCAATTCTTTTTGCAAGCTTTAGATCTGCTAAAAGATGTTACCAAATCTTTTTTTTTTTTTAATAGAGGCATGTTTTATTTATTTGTTTGTTTGTTTATACAAGCACTGGGTACAGTCAGAAGTGCGGGAGGGTGAGAGAATTCACCAGAGCCAGAGCGGGGAGTAGAGCAGGCAGAAGGACCGAAGTACACTGCTGAGGGGAGCAGCGGGCGGCAGGTGAGGTCTGCGCGCCATGTGGGACCTCCTCCGGTGGCCGGGGAGCAGCCGGGGATCAAACCGGCGCTGCAGAGGCCGCGGGCAGCTTTGCAACCCAGCGCTCAACCGCTGCGCCACCGGGGAGGCCCTGTTACCAAATCTTAATATCATGTCCACCATATATGGAATTGGTAGGTTGTGAGATGCACATCTCCTTGAGTACCATGAACCTATGATCTTTTGGAATTGTGCCAAACACAGCCAGCAAGGCTATAGTAATTATGGTCAGAAGCTTAATCAGTAAGTAATTTTAAGCCATGAAAATAAATTGTTGGTCCCTGATATCACCTAATGAACATAGGGTTTTTAAATTTTTGCAAATCTGCTTAGTTTGGGTCTTCTTTTTCCAGTTTTAAACTAACTTTGCTTGGTGCCCATGAGATCAGATGGTTTTGATAGAAACAGTGTGACACATAGAAAATTCTTGTACCTTGGTTCCCTGGGAAACCAGGCTAAGAATAGTTTCCTCTGAACATCCTGGTTTTCTCTAATGAGGGCCAGTATAAGAATGTGAATGTGAAAATGTAACCTATAAATCCCAAAAAATCATTATTTTCTAACACATTTAATGCATTTTTGCACATACTCAGATTACAAAAAAATTTCAGATATTTTAATGAATCTAATGATTTTTGAAGTTGTGTGTGTATGTATGTGTGATTCAATTAAAATAGAGAAATCATATATGAACAATGATGTATAGGTTTTTGGTGGTAACTAGGAATAAAAAATATTTCCCAAGATATTGACACTTAGTTGTCTATTTAAAATAGGCTTTTAAAATGCATTTTATAAGTTGTTTATGTAATGCTTATAAACGAGTACTTATTTTTCTTATTTTCACTTATTACAATATTAACTTCCCTTCTTTTGTGACATTTATTGGTTTAATTTCACAGATAACTTGACAAGTAGTGCTTGGATCGTGAATATTCATTATTCAGTAAAGAATGTTTTGGAAGCAAAATTTCCAAATTTAGTACATGGTAAGTTGTGCAGTATTCTACATAAACTTTGGAGAATGCATTGTGTTTATTACAACTTTCATATATGTAGTGAAGCTGATTTTAGTATTTTTCTGTTATTTTACTTTAAAAGAACATATACTTGGAAAAAGATATTTGTTGAGAGTCCTGTGTGCATAGACAGTGGGAAGAGTGGATTTGTTGTGCAGAGATGCACCTTTCAGTATTTTGAATATTTTGTAGAGTAAGACAACTTAAATCACAATACTGGAAGTTTATAATTAGAAGCTAATCATTTTATTTCATAAAAACAACATTATGGGGAACTTAAGACATACTATAATTAGTTACCTACAATGAAAACAACTTTCACTATAGGAGTGGAAGCATTTATGTCTGACTAGAACTAGATACTGAGCATTTAATGTTATCTCTTTAAGTGCTTACGATGTGTCCTATTAAACACATTGCTCTTATTATTTTTCCTCAGGGCTATCAGTGATCACTGCTTTTTGTTAAATTAAAATAACGTAAATAGGCCCATTGGGAAACCTCCTTGTTCAGCTGTAGGAAAATAAGAATTAAGTATAAAAATTGTTTCTAGACTATTTGTCTCTATCTTCCATAATATAAAATAATTTTGGCAATGTTCTAATGCTACTGGAACAAGTTGGAAAAAGCAAATGGAAGGCATAAAATATGGTGAGTGAGAAGTTATTTCTAAAGGAGATGATGATTACCTAGGTCCGTATCTCCTTATTTCTTCAAAGCAATAGAGAAAAAGAATGGAAAAATAAAGTTACACAAAGTTATGTGCTCTAGCTTAAATATAGAGAATGCCCAAGGCTCAGCATGATTATAATGGCAGAAAGAACTGTGCACACAAAATATATACTATTCTCACAAAATATATTGTATGTATTTTATAAAATATTTATTATACAAATATTAAGCTTCTCATAAGTCAATGAATAGCAATTCTGGAACTATTTTATATGTATATCATATTAGGAGTGTGCAAAAATTGTGTGTGTGTGTATTGTGAATTATTAGATTTGGAGGTTTCACTTAAAGGATAGATCAATAAATAGGGAGGGTTAGAATGAATTCCTGTGCTCACTCACTCTTTCTATATATGACGATATATACATATAATAAAAAAATGCTATGAGTATATATGACCCTTTGTGTACGTCTTTATATATGTATATATGCATACATATGTGCATATAAACATGTATGTATAGACACATAGAGGTTTTCCTTGCCCATAGGGTCTTCTATGGCATGACAATAGACTCACAGTAATACTTAGAATGCAGAACTACTCAATAGATAAAAAAGAGGTTGACATTTTTCCTCCTTAGACCAAGCAATCACTGAGGTCTTCTGTCAGAAAAAGCCTCCAAAGACTCCATAAGGGGAAATCACTGTGAGTGTAGGTAGAATGAACAACCTAAAGTAAGTGGTAGGATTTCTTTTGCACAGTGACAGATGAGACAAAAGGGCCTCCAGGTCCAGCCTACCTTTGGTAAAAATGTCTGAACAAAATATTATTCTCAGGCCTCCCTGGTGGCGCAAGGGGACACAACTATGAAACTATCTGCTGCCACTGCAGCATGAGTTCGATCCCCCGCCAGGGAGTTACCCACATGGCTAAGCAGACCTCTCCTGACTCACCCGCTGCTCCCCTCAGCAGTGTATTTCAGTCAATCTGTCTGTTCTGCTTCCCACTCTGTCTCTGGTGAATCCTCTCACCCCTCACATCACTGGCCTGTACCCCAGATCTTGTATGCATAAATAAATAAATCTTAAAAAAATTATTCTCACAGGAGTAATGGGAACATTAAATAATAGAATATATGTTAGGTTGGGGAATAATTGTCTTCCCAAGGTGTACATGTTCTAATCCCTAGGATCTGTGAATATGTTGGGCTACAAAGCAAAAGAAAACTAGGGTTGCAGATATGTTAATATTGCTAATCTGTTGATCTTAAAGTAAGGAGCTGATCCTTGATTCTTTGGGTGCATGCTCCTTGTGCAGTCACAAGAACCTTTACGTTTAGTAAAAACAAGCAGCATGAAAAATGTTTGAAGTGTTAGTGCTGGCTTTGAATATGGAAGCCAATCAAGGAATGTGAGTAGTACCTATAGTTTGGTGAAGGGAAGGTAACAGATTCTCCCATAGTGCCTCCAGAAGAAATGTAGGAGTGCTGATATTTTGATTTGAATGCACTGAGACCAATTTTTTTTAAAAGATCATTTATATGTTCAAGAACTGGGGTACAGGCCAGAGGTATGAGGGTTGAGAGGATTCACCAGAGACAGAGTGGGAAGCAGAACAGGCAGACTAGCTGAAATACACTGCTGAGGGGAGCAGCGGGTGAGTCAGGAGAGGTCTGCTGTGCCATATGGGCAGCTCCCTGGCTGGGGAATGATCCTGTGCTGCAGTGACTGCAGATAGCTTCATAGGTTGTATCTTAACCCTTTGCACCACCCGGGAGGCCCAAGACAAATTTTGGACTTTGACCTCCAGAACTGTAAGATAATAAATTTGTGGAGCTTGAAGTCATCATATATGTGGTAATTCATTATTGCAGCCATGGGAAGGTAATATAATATGTAAAGAATCTACCATAGTGTTTGGTAAATAGTTGGAACTTGACATATTCTACTTCTACCCTTTCCTCCTCCCTTTATGTTTTTGTGTGATTCTCTGTTCCACCCTCCAGCAAATATTTCTCTTATGAAATTTGTGCTAAGACAGAATTTATTCTGGTCTCTGTTGTTGGGATTTTGCTATTTTCATTTATGCAAATGGGGAGATAACTATACTCCTAGCTCTTAGACCATGAATCGGCAGAATTTTGGGGGGCTGTGAATTGTGTAGACACTGTGCTTTATAAGATCTTTGAACCACTCAACTATGCAGATATAAGAAATAAGCAATATGTAAACAAATTTTTCTGTGTTCCAATAAAACTTTATTTAAAAACAAGGCATTGAGCTACAGTTAATCTGTGTTATCTTAATTTACTGACCACAATTTATACTGTTTTTCTCACTGTTTCTCTTCTACTCCACACCAGATAGTTATGCTGAAGTTACAGTGAAGAATGGAGTGATTCAGATCCTCCCATGTCTATAAAACCACTCAGGAGATTTTACTCTGCCTTTTGTATCTATCTCATCTGTGATTTGGAAATCATAATAAGACCAATGACTATAATGGCAGCAATCATCTTGCAGCCATTGTAATTTCTAGAACAGCAGAGGATGGTTTCCTTACCTTCTAAAGCCCCTTCTAAGGCTACAGGCAATACAAATTATTTTCTTTCCTCTTCAGATGTAGATTCATCTACTTAGAAATGAATCACCATTTATCAGAAATTTGCTAATTTGAAATCCTGAAAGTGCAACCTTCTGTTTTTTAAAAACACAAAGGACTGCTCATTTGAAAGATAGAATATAATTAGAAACTCTTTTACAAGGTCTTAATTTTCCCTACTTGGACTGAGCACTTTAAATACTTCTATATTTCTTTTCTTTTTTTTTTTTTTTTTTGTTGGTAAACCATTTGCCACATGTGGTGTCATTTGCTTTGAAATGTGACAAAGTGATCTGAGCTCAGGGTTCTGTAGAGAGGGAGGCATTATTGATTTCTTGGAGAGTAGCAAGAAGACTTGCAATGCCGTGTTAAACTTGGCTGACAGATCATAACAGCTTGTGACATCTAATTTACTATAATGAAATCATGGGGTTCGCTGGCTTTCAGGTCAAGAGGAGAGGGGAAAGGTTAAGAATGTGAGGATTCTAAGCAACCAGGCATGAAGGGCAGTTCATTCGCACAGTCCAGTCTCAGTCTGAAAGGATATTAACTGAATTCACCTGTTCCAAGTTATCCAGATGGTCTCCGCAAATGGAACATTATAGATGCCTGATCATTACTATTCTGGTTATAATTTAATTGCTTGATCAGGAAACCTTACTTTTTTGCTTCATTTTGAAGTCCTACTGCTTTTGTAATGTCACAACTAAGAATATATTAAAAAAAGAGAAAATTTTCTATACGCTTGAGAAGACTTTTAGCCATCTTTTCAATTAATTAAATCTTTTCTTTTGCTAATCTTCGTTAAGCCGTATGGCACTTTGAGAGGTTTTTCAGTCTGTTAAGCCCGGTTCCTACTGATGTGCTTTCGTAACTGGTTTATTTTCATATTGTACATGATTTTTATTAAGGAAGAAACAAAAGGAAAACAAAGAAGCTGATAATGGGATTTTCTTTAGTCTCAGTGACTTTCAGGGTTTCTTAAAGTCTTGAAGTATATATCATCTTGCCTTGTCCATGTATTTCCTGAATGGCTTCCAGCCTATGTTTTCACAGATACATAATGAGGGAAATCACTTTAAATAAATAGCTAGAAATGTTTCAGCATATCATGATTCATGTATATATTCTTGTATATGAGTATTTGGTATTCTGATTGGGTCTTTGAGCCATGAAAATGAGTACTGAATCATAGAAGACAAGTCAAATAAAATCTAGCATATATTTCATACTAAAGATGACTGTTCACAAATGCAAAAATTATATAGTATGGTTCTTTGGAAGAGTGCTGGAGTTGACATTCAAATAAACTGCATTTTATCTTCAGTGCTTTCCTTTCCCTTTCATGTAGTTACTATGGCCTATTTAACTCTGTATCTCAGTTTCGTTAAGTGGGGCTAATAATACACCAACCATTCTTGAGTGTCCAGTTACTCTTCAAGGCAGGTACTGCTCCACATTCTATTTAATTATTCCTGAGGATTTGTGAGGTAGGTATTATGCTCAGTCTGTGCACAAGAAAACTGAGGCATAGAGTAGATATATTTTGCAAAATTTGATGGGTGACAAATGTCAAATTTGTGATTTACATCCAAGTCTAATTCCAAGAAAAAATTTTTTGCACTGAGTCTCAGCTTCTTCCCACAGGGTTTGCCAAGGAACAAATTAGAGTCTGCAAAACAGTGGAGCTCTGTAAATATGAGGTAGTGTTATTAATTATTTTGATAACTAATAATTCTTATATAGGTACACTTTTTAAAATCCATATATTATACTTTACATTATAACCATAATATAATAGCCTAATATTTTTAAATATTATAGTGCCAAGAATTATGGAAAATACTGTAATGAATTCCCATACTCAATCCTCCCCACAAACCTACAAGGTAGGTAGGAGAAATCCTTATTTTACATTTCAAGAATCTGAATAGTGTGGCTTTAAATTCCAAAATCTAATTTACTTTATTTTTTAACTTTCCACTTTTGTAAACTATTAGGAATAGGTTTGCCTGAAAACTAAAAATAAATACAGTTTTTAAGGATTTCCTAATTGAATTTTTATTGTTTTTCCAATGTTCCATTAACTGTTTACCTCAGAATGCAAAGGAGTCAGAGAAGGAAATGCTGGTTCCTGCCTTACTTTTGTTTCTAGAGGGAGAGACACTTTATTGCAAATTGCACAGCTCTCAGCTGCTCTGAGGGCACTCAGGTAAATTAGAAGAGGAGAGACTCTTCATGAGATTTTGAGATGGACAGTTACAGTGAAACTGCTCTCTCCTGAGTGTTCTGCTGGAAGATTTTTTCTTATTTAGAATAGTTGTTATGGACTCTCTTTATGGAGTGGCAGTAATGGTCTTCAACTGAGTCAGCTCTTATATGTAACATTTTTAACCCATGCTTTTACTTGTCATTAATATAGTTGTTTCAAGTGTGTGTATTAGAATATGTATGATGTTTTCTGATCATGTATATGAATGACTTCTTATTTTGTATGTCTTATACATAAAAATCTATACTCACAAACATTATTCATCCTTTCTCACCCCAGCATTGGAAGTGGAGTCACATTACTAAGTGTGTTGAGATGAAAGCTTTCCACAGAGGATTCTCCTCTTCCCACTTGGAGGCTTCGAGAGTATAAGCAATTTTTCTAAACATCACACAAAAATAAAGGTTAGAAAACTTCTGTTTCCCATTACGAAGAACAATGTAATTCATACCAATTCTCCATTGAGCACAGATAAAACATATGGAAATACAAAACATGTGCTTAAAGGCACTGAATTGTAAATAACATAGTCACAAATGATCTGGTCAGTGTCTACAGGTGAGGGACAATGTGCAGGCTGACTTACAATTCAGGACCACTTTTCTTCAAGGAAGAGGGATGTTCGTTGATCCTTAAGATGGGAATAGAGAGGCTTAGATGTGAAAACCATTTTTGGGGCATGGATTTTCATTCCCAGACACTACAGTGGTGCTGTGTCCCAGCACTCATTCTCAACTGAAAGTCAACAACAGCTACAGGAGACAGTCCCTGAAATTGAACTGAGATGATTCCTGGAGGACAGTGCCCTGAGTTGCCTGTCAGGAATAAAATTAAATCTTGATGGAGATAATATTCTGGTCTTATTTATTTTTGGTAATTTTATAAAATATTTAAATATAATTCTCAGAAACAAATAATGATAAAAATTGGGACAGTATCAACAAAGAGGAGCTGAAAATTGAGAAAGACAATAGAAGAGGCTCTAACATATTTGAATTATGTGATAAAATGAGAAATCACTTATGTTTTAATCAGAGTTAGAAAAGATTAATGAATTTGGAAAATAATTTCACATATGAAAACTGCAAACAGGAATGATGAAAAGGAAAATGTAGTAATCCAAATTAAGAACTGACATGTTAACAGCAGAGTGGACACAGTGGAAGAGAGACTTAGTGAACTGCAACCTAGAACTGAACTAAATAAATAGAATTAAGAGCAGAGAGGTCAAAGGGTAGACTTTGATACTAGGTCAGTGGAACTCAGAGTCTCAAGCATATATTGAAATTTATTTTACAAGCATTGATGCTGCAGAATTCTGAAGAAAGAACTTTTAAGTAAATCGTGTTTGAGCAATAGGATGGACTATAGGGGAAAATGTAAATTAGCCTCTACAACACTTACAATAAATCAATCCTGTGGAGGACTGTAGATCTAAATGTGCTCAGTAAAATAATAAATCTGAAGAAGATAATGCAACTGTGACTTGGGATAGAAAAGAACAAATGCTTTACCATAAAAAATTTGATAGTTGATTTTATAAAGTTAACAGCTTCATATAGGGCAGAGATATTTACTGTACCCACAATTAACAGAGAGTAAATTTGCACACAATATAAAAGTTAAAAGTCAACATATGAGGAAAGGCAGAAAATTCCAAAGAATAATGAATAAAAATGTGAACAGATATTTCATAGATGGATATATTCAAAGGGGCAATAGATACAGCAAAAATTCTCAAGATAGTAATTGCCAATCAAATTAAAGCAAAAATCAGATACCTTTCTGTAGCCATTCATATAGCTAAAATTAAAAAAAAAAACCTGGGCCTCCCTGGTGGCATAGCAGTTGAGCGCTGGCTTGTGAAGCTGCCCGCAGCCTCTGAAGCGCCGGTTCAATCCCCGGCTGCTCCAAGGCCACCGGAGGAGGGTCCCACATGGCGCGCAGACCTCTCCTGCCACCCGCTGCTCCCCTCAGCAGTGTACTTCGGTCCTTCTGCCTGCTCTGCTCCCCACTCTGGCTCTGGTGAATTCTCTCACCCTCCCTCGCTTCTGCCTGTACCCAGTGCTTGTATAAATAAATCTTTAAAAAAAAAATGAAATTAAAAAAATTAAAAAAAATAAATTCATGTTTTGCCATCAAAGAAACATTAGATTTGAATTTTAATATGCTACTATTTGTGTGATAGAGGGCAAATTATTATTTTCTCAAAGTCCTCATTTCCTTGCCCACAGAAAAAGAAAAATTGCATGTGATGCATTAGATTTTTGAGGTTTAAGTATTATAAAGCATTATCATTTGTCAGGACAATATTAAAAACATATGTATTTCTCATTGGTTTCCTTGTGTCGTACCACCACTGATAACTTGTAAAGAGCAGAGTACCAGAAACACCTGAGGAAGTTTTAAAATACATTGATGTGGACTCTGACCAGAGAAATTGTGATTTGTTTGGTATATTTCCCTGTCAATGAGGACTAATTGAGTCAATATCTCCTCTGCCTTACAAAATACCAAAATCACAGACTTAAGTTTTTCTCTCTTAGTTTTTTCTAGCCTGGTACCCTTTGTTAGAAGTTCTGTTACTTGTTTAATTCATTCTAGAGATAGTCCCAAAAGGTATATATTCTTATATTCTTTAGATTTATATGCCACATAATGAGTGAAAATGTGAGAAATCCTTGAAAATGAGGAAACATTCCCATTATCATCAATAGTATTTTGGCAAACTAGTACTGGAGTAAGCTAAACTCATTTATTTTTTCTATATTCCCAGTAATTAGAGCTTCACTAGGTGACTTTTTAATGACCTTTGTACCAGATTGGGGCATGCATTGAATAAGAGATATACTTACTATACCCCATCCCCCATTACTGACTGGAGAATATTTAAATGTCAAACCAACTAGAAATTTAAATATGAGATTTTGTGAATTAATTCACAGGTATAATCAATGCAATATGAGTCAAGAGAAGTGGAAATGTGCCCCTTAGAATTCAGTGGGAAGGCTACTACTAATCTTCAAGGTGTAGATGAGTTCCTTTTCATTGGCAGGCACTCTTTAATGCTTTAAAAGTTTAATATTCTCTGAAGAGGCATTAAATGAATTTTTAAGTGCCATTTGTTTTGGGTTCTGGGAAAGTGAAGTGGAAATGGGAACTTAAGGGTCATAGTGTGTTGTTATTGAAAATGAATCCCATTTACCTCTACTTCACAGTGTTCATATATTTTTCATAAAATGAGTTCATCCATATTTTAAGATTTAAGATCTACCTTTCAGGTCTGCCCTACTCTGGTGTGTAGGCTGATTTTTTTCCTTTTTTGATTTTGTGTGCAGGTTAGCAGTTCAATTGTTAGAGCTGTGCTTTCTAAGATTGCCCTACTATACTCCATTCTGGTTTCTTTGAACTACACAGTGGTAAGAATAAATAAAAATCAGAGAAAAGTGAAAGAAGAAACTGGTATTAAAATATTATGTTTGTGAACAAGTGACAATCAAAACTTTGGAATGAAGCTGAGAAATGAGCAATTTTTAGAGCAGTCTGAATTTTGCTCTGCATTCTGGGAAAAAATTGAGTTCCTTAATAGTTTTGTATGACTCTTCATCCACAAATAGGATTTGAAATGTCTCTTTCTCCCTTTGCCTTATCCTCAAATTTCGGCTATAACTATGAATTCAGTAAGTATTCATCAAGTGTTTATAATGTACCAAGAACTGCTTGAGGCAAGAGTAAAAATCCAAATTTCGTGTTTTCTTGGGGATTAAAATTAGTTAATCTCTGCAATTAGAGATGTCCATTGCTGGCAAAATCTTCATCTACTGCAGGGTTTTTAGAGGCTGCTATTTTTTTTTTCAGACACATGTTTAGCCATTGAGACCAAATAGGTGCCAGTCCTTCTTTCACTTAACTCTGAAATACACTCCAGCCATTGTCTGCAAAATAAAAGAGAAAAATTTAAAACATCCCAGTTACCAAAAACAACATGGGCTAGATACGTTGCTAATTATCTACATTTTTCATCTTGATCCTGACAATAACATTAAGAAGTAGAAAGTATTATTTTGCCTATTGTCCTATATTGAGGAGTTTTAAAAAGATAAAGCATTTGGGGCCTCCCCTGGTGGCGCAGTGGCTGAACACTGGGCTGCGAGGCTGCCTGCAGCCTCTGCAGTGCTGATTTGCTCCCTGGCCGCCAGCGAGGGTCCCACCCCCCAACCCCCCCCCAAAAAAAAGAAGTTCAAGCATTTGATCAAGATTCCTTGGCAAGCAGATGACTGAACTGGGAATCGAATCCTAAAGAGCCCATGCAAAATACTAGACCCTTAAATCCCTACACATATCAATATTATGTCTCACACATTAGAATTCTTGCTTGTAAATACATAGATCCTGAAATTAAATAAATGTCAATTAGTGTAAAGAGGTAATGATCTCATAGAAATTTTACTTTCACTATATATTTTTTTAAAGATTTATTTATTTATACAAGAACCAGGGTACAGGCCAGATGCATGGGAGGGTGAGAGGATTCACCAGAGACAGAGCGGGGAACAGAACAGGCAGACTGATGAAATACACTGCTGAGGGGAGCAATGGGCGAGACAGGAGAGGTCTGCCGTGCCATGTGGGATTCTCATAGGCCAGCTGAGATTGAACCAGCGTTGCAAAGGCTGCAGACCACCTGTGGCACTAAGAAGGCCCTCTTTTGTTAAATTATAACTATTCAGATACAGGGGGTGTTACCCAGAAGATTTGTTATTTAAAAGTGATCCTTATACTGAAAAATGAATGTTAGGAATTGCTGTATTACAGACTAAATTTCTTAAGAAGAAAATAAATTATTTTATTCAACTTTATATTTCCAGTGCTTAGCCCATAGCTATCTCACAGAAAACTATCAATAATTTATTACATAAATAGACAAATGAATCTCACTGCAAACTAAGAATAGTGTCCAACATTTATATATGCTGGAATAACTTCAGTGGGGGCAAAAATAATGAAATAAAAAAGTGTTAGTAAACAAAGGGAATATGGGAAACAAATGTCAGTACCAAACAGTAAGAGTCAGACAAATTAAACACGCGCAAAATGCTTTTCTTGCACATTCATCCTACTTTGATCATTTATAATTAATAATAAGAGAACTCATCTTGAAAGATTGAAATGACTAAAACCATAACTAAAATTAAACTGCTTGGTTGGCTTTGGTATTTGTTTTGTTTCCTGCATCCCATAACTAATATAGTTCTTTCAATTTAATCATTCTACCCCCCAAAAAGAAAGAAAAAACTATTCTATTTTATATCTTCAGAAAGCACATTGAGTTTTGGGATCCCAAAAAGTTAATTAATTGTTTTTCTACTTTGTAATTTTATGGAAACAATGAGGGGTA